AACTCTCACAGCATTTGCTCATAAACAATAACCCTGTAACGATATCTCATGAAACTACCTTCCTTGGACTAACAATTCAAGAAAACCTAAAATGGAACACTCACATCTCAAATCTTAACAAGCTCAGGAAATCTTGCTATGCCTTATACACCCTCGGGTCAAGCTCCAACATTGAGAGACTTGGAACAATGTATTTTGCAAATGTGCACTCACACCTAAAATATGGAATAATATTCTGGGGAAATGCCCTTGAAAGCACTCGCACATTCATTATCCAAAAAAGAATACTGTGAACAATGACCAGCACTCATAAGGTGGAGTCTTGCAAACCCTTGTTTAATAAAGTAAGGATTCTTCCTCTACCATGCATGTACATATTTGAAATAGTGTTTTTCACAAAGAAAATTCTCATGGAAAACAGACACTTTTACTTTAAATTCTGATGTACATAACAACACCCGTCAAAAAGATAACCTACATGTTCCCCACTCTGAAACTACACTTTATCAAAAAAGTACCCTAATAGAGGGCATTACACTTTACAACAAACTAAGCAATGATATGAAAGACATAAACACAATTCATACATTTAAAAGTAAATTGAAAGCTTTCCTGCTTAACAACATGTTCTGCAGTGTAAAGGAATTTTCAAATTACAACATTTCCCTTAAAAAATATAAATAAACAAGAATTTCTTATTCCATTAGACTTTCTGTTTCATGATAACTGTTTCAAGCTGAAGCAAAGAAAAAAGAAGTGCATATCACATCCTGTGAAATAGGAGAATAGAAAAAGAAAAAAACTGGTCAAAACTTGCCTCCTCACCATTTGAAGTTATAAATATAGAATGTACTACTATTGTTAAATTTGATGTAGTTGCAAACATAATTGATATGTATTATTAATGTAATTATTATAACTAATGTAATTATTATTATTGATGTAATTATTATTAATGTAACCATTATTATAAGTAGTAGCATTAAAATATCATATTGAAATGTTAATTATTAGCAGATAATTTATCTACTGTATAATATCTTAATCTAACTGTAACAAGTATTGTATTTCTAGGCCAATGACCTCATCTTGATCAGGTTTTGTTCAGTTTCCCTGATCCTTTGAGCAAATGCTGAGATGGCCCCTTGTTTGCTCCTGAACAGTAATATAACTTTGCTCTGTTCACCCAAGGCATCATATTGACTCGTCATACACGATTGTAATTGTATATATGTGACTCAATAAATTTTATTATTATGAATATTATAAATATTCTTATTATTATTAATTTTGGGGATTTCATAATCATTGAAATGCCTGATTTTGTGAAAGTGTAAAAATGTTTTGGTATCTTCCTATAACTAAAACTGTGAATATACTAACTTTTGTAAATTAATGACTGATAAATGAATATTGTGAATAATGAAGTAGAATTTTAATGCAAATGTGAAAAGTTGTTAGGATTAATTATTTGAGAAGAAAAGAATAATTTTTTTTTTTTTGGACATTTCAGTTCATCTGAAACTGTTGGTGATCTGAAGTATTATAGTTGCTTTACTAGAGCAAATCATGAGATGTGAGCTGCAAGAATTAGAACATTATATTGTGGTTTGTAGTTGATGATAGATGTGCATGAATGTGTTAAATTTGAAATGAAGGTAAAATGCATGTGGAATTTATGCTGTAGGGACTTGGCAGTTATGGTTTTTAAAAAATGAAAAAAATTAATTTGTTAGAACTATAACAGGGGATGTAATTGAATACAAATCGAAAAATCTAAAATTTGATTATTGTTTATGAGATAAATTGCTACTTTAATTAATATTTAGTAATGTAGCTGCTTTGTAGTGCTTTGCAATAAGTACTTGTATGGTGAATATTTATTATGTAAAGTAACGTATTGTTTTACTTCTGTTAGTTTGAAATTTTGCTCATGTAAAATTGGTAGGTTTCTAATTTTGCCAGTATGAAAGGTAAGTGATGGATTGAATTTGTTATAAGTTATTTGAAAATAATAATAGTATTGTTTATTGTTGTGGATGCTATAATAACCTGACTTGGGCATTTGAAAGTGCAGTTGTCAGGTGTCGGGCATTGCTGAGGTGAGAATTTATTTAACTTATTTGAGACTATGGGGTTTAATAATACCAAACTTGTGAGCACCCACACAGTTTGTGTAGAGGTTGGGATTACTAATCAATGAATTGAATGAGAATTTTTTTGAAAATTGATTGTGATTGGTGTAGTGGACTAAGAGATAACTTGGGTATTTGACATGTTGCATGAAAATGATATTTAGTATTAAGTTTCCAGTTCATTCCACTGTTTTCATGCACTACTTTTTTGAAGCTGTAAGTATGTTTTTTGTGTTTATTAAAAAAGACATGTTTGAGAATAATAGTGAAATGTTTTGTTTAGTAGCAGTACATACACATTTCAATTAGCCTTTAGCAACACTGCATTAGCCAATGTGGATATATTATTATGCTATGTACAATGAATTGAGAAACAGGAAGAAATTTTTCAATATGCTGTTTCTTGATACAAAAGAATGAAGAAAGTATTCGTATAGGCATATCACTGAATGCCTTTGTATATGAAATTTTTTGACTTTAAACTTGAAGTAGAGTATAACATTGATTATGAGGGTTTCTTACAGTATTACATTACATTACATTACTTGAAAATGTAAGTTTTGTGGGAGTTGGAATGACATTACTAAAGGTACTACTAAAGGTAGTAGTAAAGGTAGTTAGTAAAGCTTTGAGTGCCTATTACATATTTGATGCATGGTAGAAGCATTTGACTTTTGTTTGTCATGACAATGAAATACTGGCAGTAATGTGAAGTGCTGAAGTGTAAAATGATTTGAGAAATGTGGAATGCATAAAAATATTAATGAGTAAATTGAAGTGTGATTAGAGAAGTGAGTGGATTGAAATGTAATGTTAATATAAATGTTGAATATAAGAATTTGTGAATGTGAATTCAAATTGTTAGAAGAAGTTACAAAATGTTATTTGAGGTGATTTAGAAAAGGTTTTTTTTTTGTTTGTAATAAAAAATATTTTGTTGATAATTGTAATAAATGTTGTAATAATGTGTAATAAAGGTCCTGCCCTTTTTATGTGTGGATACGTGACATTAATAAAAATATTAGTGTTATGCATTCCTGAAATAGTTATGAAAATATTTGAAGTAATTATCAGGATTCTATTAGTCTATGAAGTAATATTACAAACATTTTGCATTACAAGTCTTGAAACATTGTCAAACATAAGAAAATATTCATTATTATCTCTGAAATTAATTTTTTGTTAATACAATTTTATTTAGAATTGATAATTTTTAATATTTTATATGGTTAATAGAAATTACCATGTAAATTTAATTACTGTTATTGAGATGAAAGAATTTATCCTAATGTAAAGAATATTAATGTAGGTATGTGTGGTTGTATCACTTAAAAAGAGAATGCACATTTTTGTCCTTGCTAGAAGTTCCTTTTTTCTCAAAAGCCTTGCTTGATGTTTGTTGAAAGTAGAATGTATTGGTTACTACTTGAAGTACTTCACTGCCTATTCCATATTAATGTGGTGTAATCCTTTGTCATGTTGTTCTTTGGAGTTGAGTTACCTGCAGAGTTCACAGTATATATTAGATGTTTTGAACATGGGCTATATTACTTGTGAAAATATCACAAGTGTTGTTACATTGAATTGTTTGTATTAAAATGAAAACATTGTTGTGGGAATTTTTAACTTGTTTTTCATAATGAGTCAGAAATGAACCTAATTGTAATTCTGAAAATGGTTTGTGTTTTGTAGAAATGGTAATTTTGTTTTGCAAGGGTTGTTGCTGAAGTGTGCATGTTGTGAATGTAATTTTTATTAAGATTGTGTTTTTCACCAATGGTTTTCATTAGGTTTTCAGGGATTCCTGTGGATTATTTGAATACATTGAGTAGAAATTAGCCTGGGTTGATTGGGAGATGAAAATTTCTGTAATAGTATGATTTTGTTTGGGGTTGGGGTTTCCTTGCTTCCTTTTATCTTGAATTTCTGTATTTGTATTACATTCTTTTGTTTAGTGAAATTTAGTGTCAACATGTAAATTGTCAAGGTTGCCTATATATTTTTTTTTTTTCAGTTTGCATGAGTTTTTGCAGGTCAGATTTTTATTCCTTTTATAAATTTTTCTTATTTGCACATTTAATTTCCTTATACTTGCAGTTGGAATGAAAATTAAGTAATAAATAGATTGAAATTGAAGGTTCTGAGCTGAATTTTTTTTTTTTGTTATATTTACTTCTGTTATTGTTTTCATTTTTTTATGGTGTATGAAGGTTGTGTATATGAAGTTGTTTCCTCCTTTACACAATCTATGTCTAGATGTATCAATTTTGTTTGTTGTAGTCTTGTTTGGTGTAGTTCTGTTGGCCTTATTCTGCAGTTGTGTGTAATACCTTAATTTTCTGGATATTTGTGTAATATTTTTTCAGTCCAGTAGCCTGTTATTGAAAATGGCATAACTTTTGCAACCCATTTCCTCTGCAAATGGACCAACATTTTAATTGTTTTGATTTACCTTAGCTTTTTTTTAGTTGCTAACTTGTCTGCAGATTTTGCACAATGTTTTTGTCCACTCCTATTGGTTACCTAACCTACACAAGATACAGATAATCCTGTAACTCCTTGACTGCTTGTAGGTCACCTGACAGTCATTTTCTTCCCACTTTCCTTTTAGTTTAAAATCCTTTAGTTGTAATTAGTACCCATTTGTCATGTACTTGACATTTTCTCTATTCTTGCCCTTACCTTATTTCCTAATTTCTTTTAATTTTCATTCTTTTGAATATCCTTTATACCTTGATTTGTTCTTCCATCTTCATTTCATTCTATCAAGTTGTCTTCACTTCTGTTTTCCTTTCTATTCCTTAATATTTAGAAATAAAATAATGACAAATGTAGATGTTAATTTTTTGACTTGTATTGTTTCAGGTGCAGATCCTGTCGGAGGAGTTGGTGTTGAGGAGTGGCAGCTGCCCCCCCCCCCTGCCCCGGCCAGGGGCGGAGGCACATAGAGAATCCGTGAGAGCGTGGAGCGTCGGAGCAAAGGAGCTAAAGGAGCGACACACGACACGGACACAGCACAGCACGGCTCGGCCAGCCCTCCCTGCGTGATGTACGCTTGGCTAATAAAGTTCAACTTGCACACAAGAGTTTCATTGCTCCAACTCCCTATCCTCAGAAAACTGTACTTTACTTACTTAATAAATACTATTACTACTACACTTGTCTCATCATTCACCCTACTTCTTTAGGGAAAGTTAAATTAAAGGTAAGAAGGCAAACATTAAGACTACCAGGAATTTAGGAAACTTCTAAAAGAACTGCAGAAAACCTGGAGGAACTCTGAAGGTCTTGACTTGCTGTCAAGTCAAGACCTTGACTTGCTTACAAGTCAGCAAGCGCAAGAGAATGATTGATACTAAAGTATGGTTGTCATAGCACTTGCCATGACTGACTGACTGCCAGACTGCCAATCAATCACAAGTGGCACTTAGGTACCTGGACATGCAAAAACAAAAAACCCTAATTCAAAGTACAAATTCTAGGCTTGACATGGCCATCTAGATGTGCTGTTACTAAGGTAAAAGATTATTAAGAAAAAATGAGAATTTGCTACTCGTACAACTTCCAAGGATACTGCACAAAATTTATAACCAAACAAACAAACAAACAGAATAGAATATACATACACCAGAAGCATTCAATAAAGATTTCTTTCTTAAATGAAATATATTAAACAATGACAGAAGCCAATGTATGTCAACTTTGAATGACTTGGAAACTTTTAGGGGGAAACTTGAAATGCAATGCATTGCATGTTTTCATTAGACATGACATGACATGACATGACATGACATGACATGACATGTATATATAATCGCTTAAAAACAATTTGTAATTAAATTAACTTTGGACACTTTAAAACAATTTTTCTCTTCTATTCTCATTGTTCTCTTGCATCACACTTCTACACAAAATACTCATTTGTTTTCCTTAAATATTAAAAGAAAGGATTTAGTGTAAAGAATCACAAATTTTAATTCCTTCACACAATTTATTTTCTAAAATATTACATACATTTATTTGCTTTGTTACACATTTTCATATATATTTCAAAGTACACTGTCCACAACTTGTGTACCTTCAAAGGCATGCCTTTCTCCATCCTCCTTCATCCACACAACCTGTGAACATACAGAAAAAAAACACCCATTACTACACTGAAACACACACATTTACATTTCATCATTACCTACAATAAAATAAGAGAATGAAAGGGGAAAATAATATGGGTCACTACAACAAACCATTCAAACTAGCTTTACCAACTGATCAAGGCTCAAAAGCAACACCATCTACAAAACTAAGACCAACAATAATGCTAGACAAATAACAAACTTGTATTGAAAGCTGCAAATGGGAATGAGGAACAATCATTCACATACTATTTAATCAACTACAAGCAATAATAAACTCAACTTATGTGAAAGGAAAGAATACCTCATAATAGCTAGGGATCTAAATGCTTGGAATAATGATGAAATAGAAAAAATCACAGAACAAAGACAAACAATAATTATCAATAATGGCATATTTCTGTCAATTCAACGACTTAAGTATAACAAATTTCTATTTCAAGCATAAACAACAAAAATCCACAGGAAGAAAGAGGAACAACATCCATAACACTACTATATCATACTCAAAGAGGAAATATTTCATAAAGTAAACAACACAAAACTTTTCAAAGTCAACTGCACACGCAACTACCCAGTTCAATCAAAACAAAGTCAAAACTCAGAGGAAAATTAAAGAAACTAACTCACTCATTCAAAGGCAATACCATCACAAATCTGTACAAACACGACGTACTTAACGAGAACCTTACAAACAATATGTGGAAGGATTATCATCAAAACAACACCTCAAGAAACGTTACATTCATATCCAAAAAAATTAAAAATGGTCAAGTACCTACAATAAACGAATTCAGTATCATGTGAAATAGGAAACTATACCACAAATATCTGCACTCACACACTACAATTATTACATACAATATAAAACATGTACACCACAAACAACAATATTAAAAAGGTAAATTAAAACAGATGACGGACACAAATTTGTGGAATCAATAGGGTGAGACATCCCAAACCGCCAAATAATATGCATCTTTATGATTTAAAAAGCCCAGCAGAAACAAGAGACAAGGTCTGCACATATCATTCCAGAAGAGAAATGAATAGAGCACTATCACAACAATGAGCAAACACAGTAATTGAGCTTCAACAAATACTACCACAGATATCCAAACAAGTACCGCAAATTATGTTATTAAAAGCTAAAAATTGGAAACATCCACAGGCACACTACATTTCCATACAATTACAATATAGCAAACAAGGAGGAACTCAACAACAGCCCCAAAATAATGGCAGAGAGGTGTCATTATAAATTTGCACAGCAAACAAAGAAACAAAAACAAATTGTAACAATTATAGGATAATAACACTTCTAGCAATACCATCTACAGTTTTTTTACTAAGAAATACAAGAAATACAAAGACAGTCAAACATGACTGCACAATGGATTCACAAGAGGAATGACTACAAAAGATGCAATATTTACATTGCAAACAATCCTGGACTGACATTCCAAAGTTAATGTACAAACTTACCTACTACTACCTTGAGAAATCATACAACTACCTCAGAAAAAAATTCAAAGCCTCTACACTGACATCTAGATGAAGATAAAAATTAACAATGGGAATGTGTCAAATCTTTCACAACAACGGTTTAAGACAAAAATGTGGCCTGAAACCATATCTGTTCAACATATATGCCAACCATATAATTAAAGAATGCAAACAAATTATAACAAAGGAAATAAACATCAGTCAAAGACCTTAAGTTACAAACAATCCCCAAGGCAAATGATGTAGACAGAATAATATAATCATAACATTACTTACAAATTGCAGCACATGAAATGTACAATCACCACTAAGAATATCAGGTTCAGTGACCATAATGTACAAGTATCTACTCACTCTTAAAATAATTTCAACCTTACTAAAAGCAAATACAATAAAGGAGACTACAAAGTATGATGCAACAAAATTGAACAAACTCATCTCACTGTTAACAAATGAATCATGGTCACGTATGTATGAAATATATGACATCAACCTCAACGTCAGCACTTTCTCTATTACAATCCAAAACTATTTCAACATCTCACATCCAGTACAGTATCACAAAACAAGCAAAGCATGGATAACAAAAAGTATAAAAAACAGGAAATACTTTGAATTATAAACAATCTGCTGGTAGAGACAAAATTCCACACCTCTTGATAAAAAAAGGTTGCTCCATATCATAAAACCATTCACCTATTTATACAACTCATCACTAACTCACCACTCCTTCCCAAACACATTTAAAACTACAGTAATTACACCTATCCACAAACAAAGGAAACAAATATAATGTAATAAATTATACACAAATTACTCTTCTCAAGATTTTAAAAAAATACTACAAAAACTCTATGAAAAGCTATCCAATACACTGTAACATTATCATTAACAAAATTATTTTCTTTGAAGATGATACAAACATAATCACCACAACAGAAACACAACAATCATTAGAAAAAGCATGCAAATGCATGCAATCAAAACTTTGCATGCACTAGTAAAGTAGTTTCACGACAACAAACTCATAAACACCACCAAGACAGTCTCTCTAAATTTCATGATCCATCTCAAGAATCAGGGTAATAAAGGATCATCAACTGATCTAAGAAAAACTCGCACAGCATTTGCTCATAAACAATAATCTGTAACGATACCTCATTAAACTACCTTCCTTTCTCTAGCAATTCAAGAAAACCTACAATGGATTGCTCACATCTCAAATCTTAGCAAGAATTTCACCAAATCTTGCAATGCCCTACACATTCAGTTACCCTCAGGTTAACCTTCAACATTGGGACACTATGAACAATGTATTTTGCAAATGTGCACACACACCTAAAATATGGAATAATATTCTTGGGAAATGCCCCTGGAAGCACTCACACATTTATTATCCAAAAAAGAATATTGTAAACAGTGACCAGCACCCATAAGCTGGAGTCTTGCAAACTCTTGTTCAATAAACTAAGAAATCTTCCTCTACCATGCATCTACGTATTTCAAATAGTGGTCTTCACAAACAAAATTCTCATGAAAAACAAAGCCACTTTTACTCTACATTCCAATCTACACAACTGCAACACTTCCAAAGGATAACCTACACATTCCCCACTATGAAACTATACTTTATCAAAGAAGTACCCTAAGAGAGGGCATTACACTTTACAACAAACTAGGCAAATGATATTGAAGACATTTGAGTCAATACATTGGTAAGGATAATGACCAAGTACAATAATACAGAATGGAATGGAAATTCAATATGTCAGAAACCAAGCACCCACACCTGTGCTGAATTAGGAAATTGAAAAGACATTTTCATATATTTATGAAGAGAAATTTGTGAAATTCAATACATTCATCATTGTATCTTGAAGATAAGTGATGACTTATAGTGTTATCAGATGCAAAAAGGTCCATTCAATCCATTTCAATTTGTGCATTTTTATAAATACATTTCATTCTTTATACTTTTAGATAAATATTGGTACAGGTTTCAATGTTCTCGTACTTCTAATAGTGTGTCACCTACTGTTGGCATTGCCACTTACTACATATAAAATCATCCTATATAAAATCCCATACCAAGGTGTAGTAAAGTAAGAATGTCCTTGATAGAGAACATGTTAAGAAATTGGTAAACAAGATTAAGTTCAAAAAACAAATAATTAAGGAAGATGAATTTCAAAACTTTTCCATCAGGTATAATAATAATAATAATAATAATAATAATAATAATAATAATAATAATAATAATAATAATAGTGACATATACAATTACAATCGTGTATGACGAGTAAATACGTCATCTTGGATGGAAAGAGCAAAGTTTCATTACTGTCCAGAAGCAAAACAAGGGGTCATCTTGAGAATTTGCTCAAGAAACCAGGGAAAATGAACAAAAAACCTTATCGAGATTTGTATGAATACAATTACTTTTATAGGAGCATTTTCTAGATACATGGATAATTAACATGAAATAATTTTGCACTTTGGCAGGAGGGTCAAATATGAAATGCAAAATCAGAGGAGGAAAACAGAGTATCAAAGTCGAAAAAGAACAAGACAACAAAGGGTAAAAGCTACACAAGGTTACAAAAAAGTCCAATTGTAGACATAAAGATATCTGATCACTTTCGAGAATTTGGTGGACATTGATAGGTTGGTTGGTTGATTGATTGGTGTTTCCGGGCTGATCAACTGCTATCGTCATTAATCACATAAGTGTAGTGCAGGTTTACGGCGGTCAATTTCCCGCGCTCCACTGCCACATCCGGCGCAGTCCTACGCACACTCTTGAGAAGTTTTCCCCAAACAGGTTTCTACAATCTGCAGGGCATCGCCCCACCCGTCATAAGCGCCAAGCTCCAGAATTGTCTCTGCATGTGTCATAGCATAGTGCTTATAGGTGCGTGCGTGTTGTAACTAGTGCCGAAAATCACGTCTCCATGATAACTCTAGGACCTCCCGTTAGACGCGCTCTAGTGAAATCAATTAATGCCTTCAGCCACCTAAGCAGGTTTGCCCACCTTACAAATAAGGATTAAGAACAAAGATTTTCATGCAAATTACAAAATGGGATATTCTGTGTTTGATGCACACGTCCACAGAGGAAAATATAAGATATACTGCAGTAACAGAGTGATGATTATGCAACATTAAAGATGCTGCAAGAGGAACCACGTTAGGACGACCACACCAAGGAACAATTTCTCGGATTTGGAAAGAATGCAGAGGCATCTTTACATTTTAGAATAATCACAACTTCAAATAAAATTTAAGCGGAGGAAGTACTAATTTACCACAACACGTGCAAACTATTGCTCACCACACTTTAAAACAAAGTAAAAATACACGCATGCTACGAGTAGACGTCTTATAGACGGATGAAAAGCAAAATTGGTCAAGGAGAGAGAAAAAATCGCAAGTAGCCCGACGTCTTTGTGGAAATCTTCAGAGAAAGAGGCAGGAGAGGGACA